TTTGCCCAGGCTAGCCTCAAACCTCAATCTCACTTCCTCAGTAGCTAGGATTACAGGCATGAGCCACTGAGCCCAGCCCAGTTTCTTTTAATACCAGACACCCATCCCAGGCACATCACTGATGTGATGTCATATGATGTGATGTGATGTGATGACACACTGATGTCCCCGATGGTGAACAACTGCTAAGTCCAAAGCCAGGGAGGCTAGAGTTGGCAAGCTGGGGGTTTGGAATTTGCTTATTCAGTTACTTAATAAGACACCCCTTTCTCCTATGCCAGACAGGATATGCAATGCCTCCCTTTTCCTCTCACCTCTGGATTCAAGCCAAGTGCCCTCCAGGCACCTATCAGTGACCTGCCATCAGGAAATGACTGAGGGCAAAAGCAAATCAGCTGGCAAGAACGCCCCTTTCTGCAGGCCAGCTTTCCAGGGCACCTCTTATCTTGGCAACAAGCAGGGGATAAGGAAGGGAGCTGCATTTGAGATGAGTCACAAGTCCTTGAGTCACTGCTGCCGGGACAAAGGTAGCCAGAAGAAGGTTGGATGGGACAAGGAACATGCAGCCCAGGGGAGAAGCAGGGGCCCCTCTGGGATGTGTGGTTCCTCCCTACAGACCTGGCCTAGGCTGGTTGACTGCTGGTACTCACTCTCACCTGATGGGATTTTGACTGCATGGGGATGGGACAGGAAAAATTCTAGGACAGAAATAAAAATTACAAAAAGGAATTTTTTTTAGGTACTGAGGTTTGAACTCAGGGTCTTGCGCTTACTTGGCCAACACAGTAATACCCGACCATGACCCTAGCCCTTTTGGCTTTAGTTTTTCAGATAGGGACTCACAGTGTTGCTTGGGACCATCCTTGGACCTTAATCCTCCTACCTCCACCTCCTGAGTGAGTAGCTGGGATTATAGGCATGAGCCACCTAAAAAGGAATTCTATCTATAGAGTCAAAGCAATCTGAATCAAGCCAGCAAGTGGACTAGAGGTGTGGCTCAAGCGGTAGAGCATCTGCTTTGCAAGCACAAAGCCCTGAGTTCAAACTCAAGCCCCATCAAAAAAAATGAAATAAAAAAGACAAAAAAAAAAAAAGCCAGCAAGTTCTTTTTTTAGTAGATATTAACAAGCTGATTGTAAAATTGATAAGGAAAGACAAAGGAACTAAAATAAAACAATTCTGGAAAAAGACTCCTTGAGCAGTGGGGCAAGAGCCTGGGCTGGGAGGAAGGTAGGTGACCTAAGCATGACTGAGGGTCCTGGGGTGCCACCTCCAATCCTGCTGGATAGTCCCACTTCCTCCACATCAGGTGAAGCAAGTTTTTTTTCTCCCCATCTTTCAGTTGAAGATCAAGAAGCTCACTGAGGCAATGTGCCCAGGGTCAGAGAGATAATTGGCAGGGCCTGACCTCAAACCTGGGAGGGAGCTCCTTCCGAATCCTGAGCTCACTACATCTGCATAGTTCCTGCTACGTAGCACCTGCTGCTGAACCAACTGCCCCAACATTTCCCTAACTCCTTAGGAAAAAAAAAGTGCATGATGAACTAGCTATACCAATCCATGGAACTGGCCACCAGCCAAGTGTCTGTGCAGTGCCTACAAGGCCATCAGGGCTCTGCAAGGACACCAAGTGACCTGCAGGGTGACTGGGTAGGTAGATTCTGCTCTCTTCAGTAGCTAGATACTCAGAGACAACCCAGGGTCATCCAGTGGTTAGATTTCAGAGCAGGTAGCAGTGTAGGATGGGATGACTCAAGGGGACCTCCAGGTCAGGGCATAAAAGAAACGGGGGAAGAAGGGAAGAGGGTTTGGATTTATGAGTGAAGGCCAGGGGACTAGAGTGATGTCTGTATATGCCTTCCCAGCAAGGGTTGTAGCACCCACACTTTTATACTGCAGACTCAGACCTCTGGACCTTTGCTACCCAAATCTTACCTTCTGGTTTCTAGATCTAACTCAAAAGGCACGTTCTCCATAAGGCCTTGTTCTGTTGCCCCAGTCAAAGGCAGCCCAGAGGAGGCACTGCACTCCTCACAACACTTCAGAAGGGTTGTCACCCCCAGGGCTTCCCACTTGGCACCTGGGCTCAACTCGGGCTGACCTTGACTGAGCAAGCTGTTCTCATCCCCTAAGAGCTCAGGAAGTCAAGATGCTCACTGATGTCCAGCCTCAGAGGCCATGTCTCCAGTAGAGCTGGAAGGTTACCCTTTCTCCCCAGCAGTAAAATGGGCTGTGGCCCAGGGGCCCTCTGGGGTCTGCTGCCAGTTCACAGCATTTTGTCTGAGTCCCTTTCCAGACTTGCAGTAGAGATGAGGAGAGAGATTCTCTTCTTTCCCTCTGCTGCATCTTGCTCTTCCTGAAAAGCTCAAGTCCTAGACCCTGCAGCTGTCAAGGCCAACAGCTCTGGCCCCATGTTACAGCAACCAAGGCTCAGACCTGCCTTCCTGAGTAACCTTCTGGGTTCAAGTCAGAAAAGCCTGCTTTTCTGTAGGGGTTACAAATGCAGGCACAATTGCTGGCTAAGGCTGCTCCCGACTCCCAGGCCAGATCCATTCTACCACATTCCACTGCCTCAAAAGAGGTCAACTTAGAGAAAGCGACAAGCTGACCAGCAGGCCTGGTCCCCAGGCTGCTGTAAGAAAAGAACAGCGGCCCCGTGCTCTGTCACACATGATCCATTAGGACCTACATGAGTACAGGGCCTTGGCATGGGCCTCACACAGTGGACCCTTCTTTATCCAGAGCTCACCAGGAACTTGGAACTGACATCTCCTTCATTTTCTTTCTTACAGTTTTTATTATGAACTATCTTGGGCACACAGGACAGTTCCAAGAGTTACATATTGAGACTGGTTTGTCTTTTTTTTTTTTTTAATAATCACACATTACAGACAGTTAAAGCCTCCCCAATCAGTTTCCTCCCTGTTTCCCGTGTATTAATCTAATGCCACTGGCTCCCCACATTCTCACTTCACTTTCACTTTCTTGTGGCACCTAACATCACACTTCCTCTTGTAAACAGTCTGCTCCCTCTAGAAAATGCCGGCTTCCTGAGGGTAGGGACTGTCCACTGCTACCTCCCAGGGAGGTGTCCTGCACAGAGCAAACAACCAGTGAAGTGCTACTTGTTGACTGAATAGTGTACATATAATATCATTTTGTGTTTCTAAATTTGATATAGATATTCCTGCTTACATGTCTCAATTGTAATATCTGTAATTTTTCCTTCACTCAGCACCATGTTTGATATTTAACCAGATGGCTGAACATTTAAGTTTCCAACACTGATAACCAATGACTCTTCTTTCTCAGCAAGGGGAAGGAGGACCAGAAGAGAACATCCAGCAAATCAAGTATAGCTTAAAAACTGGAACTCAAGGTTCTAACCAGCAACTGAGATTCTAAAAACAAGCCAGAAGAAAACAAAAGGGCTTCTAAGTAGTTACCACAGAATGAGGGTGACTGTGCAGGCACACACCCCTAAGTCACAAATCTGGGGTCACTTGGTCAGGGAGCAACTACCTGGCTTTCATCCTTCTATCACCAGCCAGGGACCCTGATATGCTGGAGGCACAGAGTCCAGTGGCAGAGTACTCATTCCCCCGTCCTCTTGGAGCAGGTGAGATGGCACATGCCTTTACATAATCCCAGCACAAGGGAGGTTGAGGCAAGAGAATCACAAGTTCAAGGCTAGCCTGGGCTGCACAGTGAGATCCTGTCTCAAAAAAAAAAAGAAGCCTATTAGAATAGAGCTGTTGTCACATGCAGGGTTGCTGAGAGGATGGTGTGAAAGCACTTTGCAAATAGAGTTCGAGATCTGTCACTGATTAAGAAGGGCCTGCTCTTGGGGATGTTACTTCCCACTGGTGAAGGTGATAAAGGCTGAGGCATAGGAAGGCTCTGGGTGCCTACTCAGCTTTCTCTGGAGAGCTCTGCCTCCCCTCCCCTCTTGCTGTCTCCCACCCCAGAGCACTGTCCACTGTACCCTCAAGATCTCCCTCTAAATAGGCCCTGTGCCTGAAGGAAGCTGCTCAGGACAAGAGGAAATCAAGGCCACCTGTCCATAAAGATGCAAAGTCTGATCCCATCCAGTATGCCTCAGCTCAGGGGGCAGACAGGACACAGAGACCTTGAGACCTCTGGGACTTCAGGCTCTCCCTGGCTCATAAGGTCAGCTGTACAGCTCTTCCCCAACCCACGTGGTTCCCAGGTTTTTTTGATACAATGACACATGGGAAGCTCTGTAGAAGTACCCTCAAGACAGGGGATAGGGTCAGGGGAATACCTCGTGCTTGCCACCATGAAGGAAGAATGCTGGAGCCCCTCACATGTGCTCTGCTTAGGAAACTTAAGTTGACTCAACCACAAGGTAAGGTAAAGACTTTATGCTTGCAAGCAAGCATGAGGCCCTGAGTTCAAATCCCAGTTATTGGGGGGGAAAAGATGAACACTCTTTAATGAACTACAGAGGGGAGCACAGCTGGAGGCTGGAAGGAGCATGGCCAAAGAGAAAGAAGAGGTGGCCTCTAAGCTGAACTGCACATGAAGACTAGTGTCAAAGGTGAAGAGATGAGAGGAATCCAGGGCGAGAAGGTGGTGTGAGCAATGAAGGGACACACACTGTTCAGGAATTGCCAAGTAGCCAGATGAGGTTGGACAAAGCCGCGTGGCCCAGGCAGACCTTACACACAGGTAAAGAAGTGGGACCCAATTTTGCAGGTGATGTAGAAAACATGAAAGATATGTGGAAAGAGTGAAAAGAAGTCACATGAGGCTGGAAAGGAAAATGCTAAGAGCCTCGGAGTAGACAGAGAAAGGGTGAGGGGAAGGCCTTGACTAGTGGGAGGGTTGAGAATTTCAGATCTAAGCAAGGCAGCCACAGGGTGGAGACAGCGGGAGGGTAGAGCCACTGGACATAAGACTGGAAGGATGTGGAGACCTAGAGAACAATGAGTGTTGTCGAAGAGAGCAGGGAAGAGCGCGCTGCACGTGGGCACTACCTGTGCTTCTCGCCTTCCTCCTCCTCTTCTCTGAGCTGCTTGGTGTTTGGCTCCCCATCTTCCTTGTCCTGCAAAGAAAGGGAGAAAGTCCCCTGCTCAGATGAACACTTCTACTTCAGGTCCATGCTGTTCAGGGAGCTAATGAAGAACAGAATGCCTCTCAGGAGCCAGAGAGCTTGGCAAGGACCAGCTTGGCCCTCTGGCTTCTGATGGGTGCAATGCTGGAGCCTCGCTCCCCTCACTGCCTGGGAAGAATTAAAAAAAAACTATGACCTGAGCCCGGTCCCAGGCATATGGCCCTCAAAGGTGAGCAGGAAGAGCTGGCAGGTTTTTGGTGGTGAGAATGGAGATGGTCAGTGCCATGGGAGGGACAGACTGAGGGAAGAATGGTCACCAGCAACAATAACAGGACATCTTAGGCCTCTGGACTCCCCTTGCAGTTCAGAGGCCTCTCCAGAAATACCTCTTTGGTTCTCTTTAGGAATAACCTAACTTGGCACAAGACTTGCTGCCCACATGGGTGACATGCTCAGAAGGACAGAGGTAAGGAGAATTTGTTTGCTATTTCTATGGGAAAAATTTCTTCTGGATTTGGGTCTTATGCCTCCCCCCACCTCCCTTTTAGTTTAGAGAAGTCATATTCATCTCAACCTTGACACAGTATGCTTGTGTTCTAGGTGCCCTGATGGTCACAAGACAAGACCACAGCCATGCTGCTTCTACCTGGAACAGGGGAAAGCGCTCCTGGGCTCTTGCTTTCTGTCATTACTGCTGTTGGATAAGCCGGCTCTGTAGACAAACTGACCCGTAGGTGTATGCATGCAGGAGCAAATACACTTGACCATGCACAGGCCCAGGGCATGGACTGAAAGGCCCAGGATGGAGCCCTGCATGCCAGGAGTCAAGCTCACTTTGTTACCAGCGGCAACTTGCCTTTGACTTTGGTTGGAGCAGTGATCTCAGGAGATACCTGAAAGGTCCTTCCACCAGGGATCTGTTGTGACAGCTACTGGGATATCTGGAGTTGACATTAAATTGTAAGTACTAAACTACTTCTACAAGTTTGTGTATGCCACTGACGCTGACAAGTGCCTTCCCAGGGTGGCATTTGCTTCATGAGTCACTTCCTGCCAGTGTTCATTTGGAGATCTTGAGGGTGAAGACCAGACCCCAGCATTCCTTGGCCACACAAACTACAGGGGAAGAAACGGTCAAAGTCAGGCTGAAGGCCTGGCCCAGAAAAAGGCTTTCATATGGGCAAAATGTCCCCTCCCTGTCTCAATCCAAGGCAGCTCAGTCTCTTGGGGATGAAGAAGCAGGAGCAAAACCCTAAGTGACAGCAGCAAGTGTCACTAACAAGGTCAACATGGTCTGTGAGGGGTGGGTGAAGAACTTCCTACTGAGGGATGGGTAGAACATGGGTATCTCATGATGGGGAGGCAGGAGCAGGAATGGCATTTCTGGGAGTGGGGGGAGCACAGTAAAGGTGTGATCCAAAGAACACACAGAGGGTTGCAGTAGCAGTGAGGGAAGGGGAAGGTGAAGGCTGGTGGTAGATGGAGGTCAATTGCAGAGGGCTTGGCCAGTATTCTAAGGTATGGAATCAAAGGGATCTGGGAGGGCCCCCAATCTCTGCCAGGCAAGTGGAGAGGTGTGGCCTGATGATAACCAGAGAGGGAACAAAGAGTGGAGTATAAACACGTGGGAAGTAAGTTGGCATTCTTGAGTGGCTCATGAGCTGCTGGACCTGGTGCTCCATCCAGAAGCCTGGATATTCAAACAAAGAGCTTCTGACATGGAATTCTTTAAGGCCCAGAGATGCCTGTCCTTGGTTAAGACAGAGGAGGAAGAGCAGAATGATGTCCTACCCCATCATGGGCTGGTAGGACAAAGCCCCTCCCCCATTCCACAGGAAGCCAAGCTTCTCTTAGGAGGGGCTCTGCACACCTGGCCAAAGGGGGTGGACTAGGGGAAGGTATCAGCCTCTGGGAGGAGTGCTTTGCCAACACCCCACCCCTTCCCTGGGGCAAGGTCACACCTCCTGCCTGCCTGCACAGCTGCCTCCCTCCCAGGGAGGCCCCAGACACTCAAGTGCCTTGGCAAAGGCCAAGTTATTCATTAATAAGTGAGAAAATACCCAAGTAACTAAATAACATTCAAAAACCACCAGCCCTCTGGTGGGCAGACACAGCACTGGCTTTAAAGAGAGCGCCAGGTTAAGACTGCCATCTAGGCAGAGCAGGAGCTGGTGAACAGATGACTAGGCCACACAGGTGGAGGGTGAGGTATACGCCAGCCTTCCTATTAAAACATGACTCTCATGTAGGACAGTGAGCATTCATGAGAAGGATGATCTTTCGGGTCATCGTGGCCTAGGTAGGTCACAAGGCATGACCCCTAACCCCAGCCTGGAATGCTGGAAGGAGGTGTACACCAGCCTGGAAGCCCAGCCCAGCTCAAGACATTCAAAGAGCTCAAAACTCAAGGATTCACAGGATGGTGTGTCCCAGGTCCTCAATTCAACTTAGGAAGAAAACCAGAAATGGCTGTCAGAAAGGCCTTTGCCTTTTTAGGCAAAGATTTGTCCAAAGTCACAGAGCCTGTCCATGTTTGCTGCAGGTCTGGATCAAGGTCCTCCTGGTCCTGCCTGAGTTCTCACCAAGGAGACAACAGACACCTACCTAATCAAGAGTGCACCAACTTTCTAGAAATGGCTCTAACCTCACCAGCCTTTTCTGTCTCTCCACATGGTTCAGATAGGCCACATGTGCAGCCCAACCAGGCCACCCAACAGGAGAGCAGGCAGTGCCTAACCCCTGCACGGTCCCCAAGTCTCTCACCCCTTTTCCCTCTTCCCAATGCCTAGTCTCTTTCCCCTCTCCTGCCCACCTCGTCAGATCCTTACCACCAGGAGTCTCTTTCCCCTCTCCTGCCCACCTCGTCAGATCCTTACCACCACGCACAGGGCTCTCTAGACAATGCAGCTGTCTCATACACTTCCCCCTCCTTTCTCCACATCGCTGGCTTCCTCTTCAAACATGCAAGTCAAATCACACTGAACCTCTGCTCAAAGCTCTCACTGCCCTTCACCCAGGACAAGAGCCCCATCCACCTGGTGAGGAGATGCAGTGTCCCAAGGCACCATCACTCATTCTGCACCTGATTCACACTGGTCTTTGTCCAAAACACCCTGACACCCATCCTTCTGTCTCAGTGTCTGACATGTCCACTCTGATAATCCACAGCCTGGCTAGTACTAGAAGCAGCCCTCAGATTTGCAAGCATAGGGCCTTCTTATTCTGGGCCCTAATTCTAGGCCCAGAACACAGGCTAGTGGCTATTCCTATTCAGTCATGGCCCTGTTGCCCCTTCCCCAAGTCCAATCCAGTGCAGTGCATTTCCTGGGGTACCCTGAGGCCCAGTCCAGAGCCTGGACTAGACAACCCTCCTCCATTCTTCACCAGTTTAACTCCATCAACTCCAAAAGTCAAACTCAGTGGTGGCAGGAGGGCAGGAGTCATGGCCTGGATGAAGCACTCCCCAAAGCCCTCTTGCCTGTTTCTAGAGGTACTCCCAACTAGGCCTTGCACCCCTGCCCTCACCTTCCTTACAGCTTGCAGGAGCTTCAGATATAGGACTTCAGGGGGATCTCACAACAGGAAGGCTTTTGTCCCAATAGAGCTTGACAGGCCCACTTCCTAATGTTTGAAATTCTCTTCTCTTCTCTCTCTTTCCCTCTCTCTCTCTTTTTGTGGAGACAGGGGCTGGCCTTGATCTCAAGATCCTCCCAGCCTCTACCTCCCAAGTGCTGGGATTACAGGCACAGGCTACCATACTCAGCCGAAATCCTTCTACAAGAGACAAAACTTCTATAATTAACATAGAATTGTTGAGCTGTGCATGTGAGGCAGGCTAGAAGCAGGAAAAGTTTGGGGATCATGTAGGTTGCCTGGGGATGGCCCAGATTACCCTCAGCTGGCTGGAAACCACCCATGCCTCTCCCCACTCATTCATTACTGGGTGGGAATCTCCTGGATCTGCCCTCCCCATGGGTTAGTGTAGGTTTTAAAAGCACATGAAAAAGAAAAGCTTGTTCTCTCTGCTGGTGGACTCCACCTATGCCCCACCATGCTCCCCTTTGTATTTCCTTTCCTAACTTTTAATATACCCCATTCTGCTTGGATTCTTCCACACGGAAACGCAAGGACCAAGGTCTCCTGAAAACACCATTTTGCCATCAATCCATGGTGGTACCAATCTGTAATCCCAACCCATCTGAAGTCTCAACCCACCTGCAATCCCAGCTACTGAGGCAAAAGGATCATTTGAGCTCGGAGTTTGACACCAGCCTGGAGGATCTGGGCTACACAGAGAGATGCTATCTTCATCCATCCATCCATATGAGTTGTTGGACTGAGGGTATAGTCAGGAGTAAAGAACGTAGTTAGCACGTGCAAAGCCCTGGACTGAATCCAGCACCAAAATAAGCCAAAAATTATTTTTAAAAAGTAGAGTTGTATAGGACTGGTATTAATTCTTCCGTAAATGTTATTAGATTCTGGGAAGCCATCTTGACCTGAAATTTTTCTTTCCTTTTTTTTTTTTTTTTGATGAGAAGATTTTAATAGGAACAAACAGATTTTCTATTTCTTCTTGAGTCAGTATTGTTAATTTGTGTCTTCCCTGGAATATCCATTTCATCTAAGTTATTGCATTTGCTGGCAAAAAATAGACTGCAATATTCCTTTATTGTCCTTTTAGCACCTGTGAGACCTGTAGTGATGTCCACGGATGTTGAAAATTTGTGTTTTTTTTTTTTTCTCTTTCTTTTCCTTTTTTTTGGGGGTGGGGGGTGGGGGCTGGGTACTGAGGATTGAACTAGGCTCTCAGGCTTGGTAGGCAAGTCATCTACCACTTAAGTTAATTTTTTTGCCTTTGATCTTTCACTTTTAGCTTTGCTTTAGAGTCTTGTACTTTTGGCTGGGCCATCCTTGGACCAAGACACTTCTGTTTTGGAGTAGATGGGATTATAGACCTGTGTCACCACGCCCATTTTGTTTTTGAGATA